AAACTGCCCCCAACTTTGTGTGGCGCTTACTCGCAGTCCTTTCCTTATGCAGTGTGTGCTGCGGGCTGGATTTGGGGCACGTACTGCGGGATGTGGTGACTTCTGTGACCCTCCCTGCACGGCCAGGCTGTGTGTGTTCGGGCTTCCCTCTCCCTCCTATAGCGCGCCATGCCCCCCTCCCGACAGTCTAACCATGTGCTGCAGGGGCATCATGATGAGCTTACTGCCGGTACACACCGCCCTCCCTACGTCATAATGTGCCGTCTGGGTAGATGACAGACAACGTGTATGGTGTATGTGAGAAAGTGATCAGGCGGACCAACTAGTACAGTATTTGGTTCAGAATCTTTTTTTTCTAGATTTTCCTCCTTTAAAATTGGGTGCGTCTTATATGCCGGAGCGTCTTATACGGCAAAAAATACGGTACATTTTTAAAATTATTTTTTTTGTTATTTTTTTCTCTCAACTGTCTCCAGAGGATGTTCTGACTGAAGACAAAGGGGAATGTGTTATCTGCTTTGAGGAACTCATTCAAGGAGACACAATAGCCAGACTTCCATGCCTTTGTATATATCATAAAGGGTGAGTCTTCTATGCAGCAGACCTCCAGATAAGCACGCTTTAAAATACTGTGCAATTTAATATATTAATCCTACTTAATGGCTAAATTTTTCTACATGATTTAAAGATCAATTTTGAGTTAGACAAAATGTCTTCAAATGTTCTTAGCCCAATAATTTCTTTTAAAAATACTCTTTTCTTTATAAGTATTTCTTGAACAAAAAGAAACATTTTTTTGGCTGTATACCACTATATATGAAAAAATTAACTTACATTTTTGAAGATCCACATTTAATTCAGACCACTATATAGATTTTTCAGTTATTTTTAAAACGGCGCTATGCCTCTTTTACCTTTTTTTTTTCTCTGTACCTGTCTTTTCATTGTAATAAAAACAGAATCTAAAAATAACCAACCAATCCTAATATGTTTATCAATATTTTTGATGATTTAGAATTTTATTCAGAAAAATGTTTTAACTATAAGTGAAAGAGACAGTGAAAGCTTGTCTGGCAAAAATCTGGGACTTTAATGCTTTCTCTCCTTATTGACGATACCAACGTTGATTCCACTAGAATGTGGTAAATAATTATGGAGAGAAAAAGTTAATACATCTAGAGCTAGAAAGATAATAAGAAGAGGGGGTCATGACCTTTAGGAACTGTTGCGTAGGGAGACAGGGTCTGGTAGGAGGATTTAAGTACTCCAGCTTTCATGAAGATTGTAAACTGCTTGTGTTAGTCATTTAAGGCTGTCATGTTTTAATGTTAGTCTCAACATATTCCTGTAAGGCGCGTTGGCTGAGCGGTAAAGCACTTGGCTTCCAAACCGGGGGTCCCTGGTTAAGACAGTGATTTTTATTTCAGGATCTTTGACTCTGAGTCCACCCAGCTCTAATAAATCCTGACATTAGTTGGGAAAAAGTAAAGGCGGTTGGTCGTTGTGCTGGCCACATGACACCCTTGTTAACCGTAGGCCAAAGAAACAGATGACCTTTACATCATCTGCCCTGTAGACCACAAGGTCTGAAAGGGGAATTTTACTTTTTTTTAATCAACATATACTTCATCTGTCCCCCAAAAATGTATGGCTCCTACCAGGAAATTATAATACTTTATTTTTACATAATTTTTAGACATGAAAAGTCTTTGTAAAGACTTTATTAGAAAATTGAAATAATGACTTAATTATTTTCTGCATTTTTTGTTTTTCAGGTGTATTGACAAATGGTTTGAGGTCAACCGCTCGTGCCCTGAACACCCTTCAGATTAAAAATGAACTCTTTCCGACCATAAGAAACATTGTATCATAATAGGGATCTGGATAGCAAAGCACGCCATGCTGTCTCAGTGAACCTCCTGCAAACATAACACACTGTACAAACGTATCTACATGTAAATAAGTATTAGGCTTCTTCGTGATACGCTGAGCCACCCGTGCTGGCTGGCGCTTGAAACATTGCTGCGCGACAGCCAGCGAACTTAAACTATTTTGTTCTTTCTTTTGACAGCGTGGGGCAACTTCATCGTTGGAAGTGACAGGGAGGTGCTCAACTATGAGGTGGACTTAAAGCCTGGCAGTGCTGTACCAAGAGTGATGCACCCTGATGATATATTTATATAGATACATACACTAATCAGTGTGCTGGAGTAATTAGCTGTGGGAAGGGATTTTCAGTTCTGTGTTGATGTTTTTAACTACATATACATATATATAAGAACTCTTTTAATGCAGATTTCCTAATTTGTTGGTGTAATAAATATACACATTTTTTATTTCAGTTTTTAACATTGTTGGCCATTCTTTTTTTTTTTTTTTAGACCTTTCATTACGCGAAGAATTTTCTAGGGTATACGTTGGGAGGTACTTAATTCATCTGTTTCAGTTGCTCTGTTCATTGGTTTAACTAATTTTTTAATTTCGCATTTATTGTTGTGTGTTGTTTATTTTGTTTTTTTTAATCAAAACTGAGCCAATTTTTATAAAATCTCTTATAAATTTTCAAATGTCATAAATTTTAAATATTAATTTGGAGAACAAAATTTAAACATTGATAGGCCCAAAAAAAATTTTAATTGCTCAGGTTTAATATTTATTCAAAATTAATTTAATTGATATGATACTAGATGTTGAAAACAGCAGTATCCAATTTGATGGTATACGTTTGAAATGTACTGATCCTTGTTAACAGTAAACAATTGTTTACTCACAAAAGTAAGTTTTTGTCACCCTTGTAGTATGCTTCAAGTCAGGCTGTGTTAAAGGTAAGACGTGTGGTTTACTTAATCATCAGCAGTACTACTAAAAGGGCCATAGTAATCGTAAGCAATTCTACTTAAACAATCAGCGATAGAGGTTTCGGTTAATCTGCTGATTTTTCCCCAGCCTAATTAACAAGGCAAGCAAAAGGATGGGTATCTAGGCCTCATTAAAGCTGTGGTGGACATAAAACTAGTATGAAATTGTGTCACAGTGGTTAAATCCAAATTCCACTTGTCACACTAGACATGTACTAAGAATCACTGTTCTGATTAGCAAGTAGTTCTCATTGATTTGTTCTGATGAGGGCTAGATGTACTGCTCTTCCTACCCTTGTTTTTTTTTATTTTTAAAGCCGACCCTTTGAAAATATCAAATATATTCTCATATTTATGTCAGTTCTTTTTGTTTTGTTAACATTCTAGTTTTTTAAACTTTGTCTCTAAGCATTTTCTTAAAAACCTACTTTTTTTTTTAAATTAGATTTTGTTTCGGAGGCATTGTTATTTTTATAAATTATTAGCGTTGTAGAAAACTTGTGTTTGTTATTTTATGGTAGGATTTTTTTTTTGGATTTTACTAGAATTGATTGTTTTGTTTATTTTAGTTGAAATGCTTCGGGTGAATAGGTTGCTGCGCATGTATCGGTCATTGTTTAATGAGTATGATGATGTAATTAACATTTTTTATATATGATAATGTTTTTAATTAAAGAAAATTGATTCAATTACAGAAAAGTACAATATAACAATACTTAAATTTTATTCTTCTTATTAAATACAATTTATATTTTTTAAAAACATCTTTCTAAAGTGTTCTTAAGCCAACTATAAATATCACTGAAAATACTAAGGACCTTTTTCAGAAACTTGTTCATAAAGAAAACAAAATTCGGTTTGGAAAATACATATCAAAACATGTTGTGTTTTTTTCTTAATTTTATGAGTGCATGTCAACTTTGAAATTGTTTAAATTTTCTCTCCATTATGTGACTGTTATTTCTCGTTGCCTGTCATCACCTGTGAATGTGATCTAGTGTCATGTACCGGTACAAATGTTGTCAAGAACCTATCGCCTGTGTTTCATCTACTCAGCTCATTCATTCTGTGATGGTCTTACCTCCCTCTTTTACGGTATAACCCGTTCTCTTGTACTTTTGAGTTCTCACAACTTTGGGAGCTGACAGAATTTTCTATTGTTGGAGTTCAGGCTTCAGTTTTTAACTCTTTCTTTCCGTAATCATTTTTCCACGTTTTGAAGGAATTCTTCATTATGCTCATTTCTATTTCACTTCCCTGTTATGATTAAGCTTCAATTGTTTTGTTGTTTTTATCAGAAAATGTTGTATTTGGTATAGAATTAAAGGTGCATGCAAGCTCTTTTTTATATAACACAAAGTCAAGTTAAAACAAATTAAACATTAATTTAATGAGGTCAATTCAACGATGGTATTGTCGATTAGGAGAGAAAGAGTTAAATATCTTCGCCCTAAAATATTAATTTTTGTATAATCTCATCAAGTAGTATTTTTTTTTTGTAACTTACTTAACGGTGAACATTGTAACATTTCTCATTAAAAATGTGGAGGTGTAAAAACAGAAATGTTATTGATCCTATAATCTTCAGGAATTAGTAATCTTTTGTTTTAAGTCCAAACCTTCATTCTATGTGGCAGAAAAAAAAACTAGACCATAGTGGTTTGCTACACCAATATTCTGTCAAAGTCTTTGCTCTGTTCTCCAAATGTTTGATTCAGTTCATGTTTGACAAAAATTTTGTTTGATTTGCATTAAACCTTTTTTTTTTTACAATGTTTGTTCTTATTGAAATCAAATCACCAAAGTCTTTGAATATTTCAGACATGGTAACAGTTGGTAAAAGGGGGCTCAGCTACAAAATGTCTTTTTTATAATTGTACACAAACATTCATGTCCAATGACACTAAGAAAATTTGAACTTAAAATTTTTCAAAGTGAGATGCTGTTTTTTTTTTTAAGTCGTCCAGATGTAAGGTGTCAAGTCTTAATATGGCAATGAGGCATATCATCTATTTTCTGTACTGCCATTTATATTTTTTAAATTACATAACTGTGTCATGTGACTGTATTAAATAAGTATAGCTTTTATATAGCGCTACTTTAATGCATATAGCATGCTCAGAGCGCTATGGTCCAATCTCATTTGGGGGGGGGGGGGGGTATCTCTGAGAAGGTTTTCCGTGCTGCCTTTAGGCACTTAGTAAACACAACTCTGCTCGAGTTGGGTGTCATTCCTCGAGCCCCCTTCATATGTAGCCAAGTTCAAGAATTCTTGGCCTCGTGGCTTCCCACTGTCCAGGAGTTTCAAAATTTTCACCCATACACAGTTGTTTTTTTAAGCTTCAGTTTTTAAGGATAAATGTAAATTTTAACTGCTCATGTGCCACTTTGTCTATATTTGTAAGATACTAGAATGAATAGCATTGTACATAAAACACATTGTCTCTTATTGTGAATAACTAATGCTAGGGTTGCCTGATGTACATTTGTGTTAGTGGGAAGAATTGTTTTGCAACTTATTGAACCTAATATTGTTTGATTCATATGTAAATATGTATGAATAGTGAAGCATAGATGATGTTGTTTTTGCCATAAACATTTCAAAACATTTGTTATGTACGGGAGAGACTATTTTTGTAATCAGTTTTGTAATATTTATGTATGAAAATCAGACATGTTTTTACTTCACTGTAAAATTGGTCAATGGCGCCATGGGCACTAAACAGTTTTCTATCAAGGAAATGAAGTTATGCAGCAGTAACACAGAAAATGTTTGCAGCTCAAAAATAAGTCGGCTCTTCTCCCCCTTTTATTTAAAGGTGTTGATGCATTGGGGTGCCACGAACCACGCCTTTGAGATCCTCTATTTTTTATGGAAAGTGCAATACTCTGAGGCGGAAAACTATTTATCCCCACACTCTCTTTAACAAATAGCCTGAAAACTAATCATTGCAGCTTTGAATTATAAACAGAATGAAGATGTTTGATTTACACAGGAACCTTACAGGCCTGCTTTGTATTTAGTTTTGAAAAAGTCAATAAAGCTGTAAAGTCATTTTGAATTAAATTAGAAAAGTCTTGGAATAAAACACCACCAAGGTGTCCATTTTTCATCTTCTGCTTTTTCATGGTTTCCTCAATTCATGTCATCACAAAAGCTATGACTTCTTACTTGGGTAGGTTTTGCCATGCTTTCAAATATCTGATGTGCCAGAGGAGTCATGCTTTACTTCTGCGTAAGGCACTACTGCTGAAAAATTTATTTAGGAAAGTATGGAAACTTTCAAAAATCCCAGTAGTAGTGCCTTTGTTTACTTCTGCGCAAGGACATTGGCCTCAATATTATTGATCACATATTTACCGTGCAGGTATCAACCAACCCTATGTACTACTTTTCTTCTCCCAAATAGATATGGAGTTTGTTTTAAAAGTTCAATCAGAAATGTTTGTATAATGGGAGCTGTACTTGAAAGTTCAACTTTTGTAAATAAATTAATGTAGTCTACAGTCTTGTTTTCTTGACTTTTGATTGTCCCCATAACGTGATAATAATAATAATCTCTGTTATCCGTGAGGAAATTTGTTACAAAAGACCTGGTTTAAATGTTTTGACCTAAAACTAGAAGTTACGTTGAAATCTTAACCCAACAATTTGTTTTTTTTTTAAATGCTTAAAAGTCATCCAGTCCATGAGTTTCATGTCAACATTTGAATGCAATAATTTCTTGTGTGTCCTTTTTGTTTGTTTGCGGAGTTCAGTTTGAAATGTGCAGCTCATTCTGTTGTAGTTCACTATCCTTGTGTGGTTCTTGTTTGTAGAACTGGTTCACTTAGCAGACATGTAACTCTTATGTTTATGAGCTCACAATCAGTGCTGCTGAGGCATGAAGTGTTGTTTAGTATTGGTAAACATTTGTTCCACTCCCCCAGCACTATTTCTTATTGTAATCCCTTTCAGACAAATGTTTACTTTTATTCTAGCCACAGATTTCAAGAATCTTCAGCTCTGTGTTTAACCGTAGATACATGGATTTTCATGAAAATAAATGTAAAATTAGGATGCCTTTGAGTTTGTATGAAAGCTGTACAAGTCTTTCAGAACCATAGGCATGGTCTTCGTAGCAGGGACTTTTGGCTTCAAAGCTCCAGTCATCTCTGGCACAATGACCTAAGATAAATTTCAGAAGTGTTCAATATAGTAATCTTTTTACAAATATTGGTTGAAGGGCAACAGAACTATTTCAAAGCACCATTGTAGATGATGTCAAGACACTTTGGCAGTCTTAATGTCACCATTTTATTTCTTTTTTTACATCAGAATTCTTGTGAAACTGATGCTGTATCATTCATGTGTATTAATATTCTCATGGTGTCTCGTAGTGGTATAATAAAAATAAAATAGGATCTGAGTACTTGGCAGCTTTTTTTTTTTTGCAAATTTTAGTTTCAATTTGTTTTAATAAATTAATTTGTGTAATCTTTATTACTATATTTCTATTTTGTACCGTATTAAATTGATTTTTTTTTCTTTTATATTTCAGGAAAAAATGATCATGAATGTCAGATAATTGTTTACATTCAATGTAGCCCAATGCAAAGAAAGGTTAAATTAGATACCATTAAAGTGGAGATTTTAACATTGTGAAATTAACTTGTCTTTATTATTCTACAGTTACCAAATACATAATTTATCATGGCTGAATTAAGTAAATATTTGAAAACCATAAGTTCTGAATTTAAATGAAATTCTATTCTTTGTTAAGATATATTTTTTTCCACTAAAAAAATTATTATATTATGGTATGCAAATATCTTTATGGCACAGAAAATAAACAAAAATTGTTTTAATCTATAAGGTACTGATATTTTTTAAAGGCCTGTCATGTTTGAATACCTTTCAGTGCATTGGGATATATTTAAATATTCCCTCTTAAAATGTTTTAGATCTTTATTATCCAGTGCAAATTATTTTCCACTATATGGAGTGCTAATTTTTTTATTTTAACTTAAAAAGTTCTGTGCTGCACTGACCAAATATGTTTCTTAAGTTCAAATGTAAGACAGTGGGGATGTTCCAGAAGTCAGAACAACTCACTGAAGATATCAGTTAATGTACTAAAGCTGTATGCTTCATTGTAAGTCATTTGAGTTTTGTATCATTCTCAATGCTCATGTCATTGAAGTCTTTCTTAGCATTGGTTGATTCCATTCAATAAAATAGATGAAAAAAAAAATTCTCATTTTGTTTACATTTGTGACTCAATGAATGTTAGTCCAAGAGAAATACTAACCTCACTTTAAACTTCAATGGTGAGCATGAATGAAGGTTCTGGGATATTTTCTGTGACTTAAAACTATTTAAAGAAGTCTGCTATGGTCCAATCACTTTTGTGGAACAGTTTGTTTTTTTTGGGGGAGGGGAGAAGGTTTTCGTGCTGCCTTTTTCAACCTAATTAAGTTGGTCACCTCCAAATTCAATGTAAGATTTCCTTGTTTGAGACATGATCTCCGTAACTCACTCCTAAAATTTGTCTTAGCCATTTTTGTTGAGCCAAGTTTAGTAGTTTTGTTTTTTTTAATTGATAAAGACTAAAAAGTAAGGCACATGTTTCAAATTTTGCTGGCTCTTAAAAGAATGCCAGTGGGTATAAGTAGATATTAACATGTACTAGGTCAAAACAAAATAGATTTCTAACTTTTCACCTGGTTCTTCATACTACTAGGATCTACTAATGACAGAAAATAGTAACAAAAAAACTATTCTTCCTTCATTATTTTTCATTTAAGTGATTATTTTACTCTTAATAAATGATAGATTTTAAAAAAAAAAAAAGGAACTTTTTGCCCTGCCCCAATTCCCACTTACCGTAAAAAAAAAAAAACTGGTTTATCCAATATATAAATCCACTCAAGAGTTTATAAAATTCTGAAGATAGGCCAATAGATTCAGACTTAGAAAGACAGGGTGCAAAATGTTCTTCAACTCTATTTATTTAACTCTTTAATGGATGAAACCTACATGAGGAAAAAACCATAGACTATATATATACAGGACTGCCAACTGTGCGCACCACGCCTATATTATTCAATTAAATAAGTCCCGTACACCGAGGCGTCCTTGGTTGCAGTTTAGTGTTAGAAGAATGACTTCCGGTGAATTAGTTTACTATATCAAGAAACCATCACTAAAGATAAACACTACGTTCAAAATATTTATTTTGCTAACAGTGCTATAGGCAGCCAGATTTTTATAACAAAATCTAATTTACCAACTTAAAAAAAGAGCATTTACATAGATTAGTGTTTTAACTAGTTTATATATATATATATATATAATTAAAAACCCATTAAGCCATTTTTTTTCCAAAAAACAAATTATAGTGTGTATGGTCGTATATGTAGATATAGTTTATAGCCATAGGTCAATAAGTCTGGGTCAAAGTTTACATGTTTACTACGTTTACAATTAATTGTTATTGAAGTAGGAACAATGATTATAGAATTCTATTAGGTGAAGACAAATTTGGAACAATCAATTTTTTTTTATGGCTTTTAGAATAGTTGGATGTTATTTAGGATTTAATTAGTTTAAAAAATTAATAACTTGCAGAGCTGAAAGTTTTATATTTTTCAATTAGTCATAAATACACTATTGCTTGTAATTTTTAATGGCTTCATTCTCCATTAATATATATATAATGCATGCTATCTTTAAAAAAAACTACAAATAAATTTTAAAAAAATAGGTATAGAATCTAGATGTAAATAAAAGTTGGTAAAGATGTCAGTGTCTAGGCTCAGGGACTCAATATTATTTTTTTTTTTAGACTGACTCACTCAAAGACTTAACTTCTATCACCCATTATAGGCCTATAGGCTACCTAAGTAATAAATGACACTCTCAAAACTGTATTGACTCTTTCATTAATCGCTTATTTAACTCATATTAATAGTATACAATGTAAAAAGAAATTGTCAAATGCGATGAAAAGAGAAGTATATTATCCAAGCTGGCATTATCATTCAAACATTGTGAATGTCATAAAATAAGTTTATACTGGAAGTATCACATCTCACATTTTGGAGTTGAATGAAACTTATGCTTAGTTACCCTTAGTGTTGGCAGTCCTGTATATATATAGTCTATGGGAAAAACAGACAGATAAAGATTGTCAAGACCTAATTTAATTTTAGAAGATATTTTTAAAAATTATAATGGTCAAACTACAGTATTCCCAGTGTGGCCAATTCGCTAGTACTTCTTTTCCCAAAGATATGAAAACAAATTTCTAGAAAAATTTGTTCCCATGAATTTTCAAGCTGAATAGAGGAATTTTTAAAAAGTCATTATGGATGTAATAAATAAAATTTATTGTATAGTTATTTTCACATTAGGTTTTCAAGTTATCTGTCTACTTTAATAGGAGAAATTGAAAACTGGACACAAAAATATACTGTTAAGGATTTTGAAGAGCTGCATCACAGGGGAGAGACAGGAAAAAAATAACAGTTCCTATAAATTGGTGAATTTCTTCAAATGCCAAAAAAAATCTTCACATGTTAAACTTTTGATTTATCTGGTTCATAATTGTTCATGTGTCCTGTGAGCTGAATGCTTTATGACTACTGGTTACAAACAAAGTAGATTAAATTAAAAAAAAAAAGAAACATAAAATAAAGTTAGACAATAATGATTTTACTCAACCGTTCAATAAAACATTTCCCTTACAAAATAACATAAAGAAACAATTCTACACAATATTTTCTTCATACACACACACGCACACATCAAAGCCTTTGAGCATATGCAACTTTCCTACTCTTACACACACACACACACAAACTGAAAGCCAACGCGTGTTGTTAAACTTCTACATTGTGATACTGTTTGTGGGCCTGTAGATTCACTTGCTTTAAGAAGGTGCCCATTTGCCTGCCTGGTCCGATCTCATAGGTGTTTGGAAACTCAACTCCTTTATCCCGAGAGTATATGTTGTGCATGATTTGTTCCCACTTGACAGGCTTGACCAGTTGCTGCCCAAGCATGTGAGCAAAGTTTGTTTTGAGATGGTACGGAGCATTGGTCACGTTACTGTACACAGTAAACTGAAAACATAAACACAACAGTAGAGCTATAAACTAGCAATGTAGATGTTTTATAGTATTTCATAGTAAGAATTCATCACCTCTGATTATATATATATATATATATAAAATTAATCTAGTACAATCAGGGAGGCCTGGTGGCTAAGTGGTAAAGTAAGTGGCTTGGCTTCCGAACCGGGTCTTGGGTTTAAATCCTGGTTTAAAGACTGGGATGACATCAGCTGGGTGGAGTAAAAGTTGTTAGTTATTGTGCTTGCCACACAACACCCTCGTTAACCATGGCCCAGAAACAGATAACCTTTAGATCTTCTGTCCTATAGCATCGCAAGGTCTGAAGGGGAAACTTTGTTTTTCAATCAGGGGCAAAACGTGATTTGCATTTTCGTATAAATATATTTATTTCCGAATGGTCAACTATCAAAAATTATAATAAAGACATCCATAAATTATGAAGTCATTGTGCACTTACAGTTTTGATCAATTCACCGTAAGTGCACAATGACTTCATAATCTTATTCTCCCCAGAAACAACTCAGTATGGTACCATCTAAGTTAAATATTGACATGGATTATGCAAAACTTACAATGTATAGTTAAAGGAACAAATCTCTTAACCCACTTGTGATTATTTCTGGTTAGAAAAATACCATACCCTCTATTGCATAACAAAGAAAGATAACTCTGAATAAAACAATCAGTTAATTTAATTTTTTGTTAAGTCGAAAGACTTTGATTTTAAATTTCTGGGCATTTAGGGTGCGCCTGAGTCCACCCAACTCTTAAGGGGTTCATCTACCTTGAAAACTCTTTTTTTTTGTTTTTAACATTTTAGACTTTTTAATGTATTGAAATGATGTATTTGACCATAGGAACACATAATATGCCTTTAAAAAATATTTTTTTTAATGAAATTCAACTTTTTTTCATCATAAAGGGGGGGGGGGGGGGGGGTCCGAGGGGTCAAATCATCTCATTTCTAAGAATGTGTTTCTGAAATAGCCATTAAAGCTACAGGTCTGAAATTTGTTACATTGATAGACACCCTATCTCCTTAAAGGATGACAATGAGACATTGTAAAAAATGTATAAAGATTTTTTTATATAAATTTTTTAATTTTACTTCCTTCTGCGGACAGCGTTTTCAACCATTGTAACCAATTAAAATCTCTTTTACTCTTTTCCTGTAAACATTTTATGACATTTTGTAATGTCATCCTGTGCTAAAACCATATTTAAATATGTATACCTAATATTATTATAACTGAACTGATAGTTTTTGAGAAAAATGATTCTTAAGAACACATACCCATGTAAAATTGGCATTTTGAGAAAAATCAAAAAGTTTCAATGAGTGAGAAAAACAAGATATGCATGTCTAGTGTTCAAAAAGATGTTTTATTTATAGCTCATGTAGCATTTAGGAATAGAAGCAAACACAGAATGTATTAAAATATTGTTAAAATTTATTTTAGATGGTTTCCCAACACTCCCACCGCCCTCAGCGCAAAAAAAAATTATTTCCCCCGAAGACATAAGTCCAATTATTACTTTTCAGACATTAATGTAAGCCCCAAAACAACTAAAAATCAAGATAAAGTATCTCTTAATTATAAATACATGCAAATAATAAGTAAATAAATAGTTAAAATATAATTAATACCGTTATATGAATGTGGTTTACACAAGAAGTTTTTCAAAGTAAAAAAAAAAAAATTACCTACACCAGTTCAAATAATTTGGAATCTAGTCTTTCTCAGGTTTCAGGCCTGCATTTTTTTTCATAAGCACCTAATGTTATTTGTACTCATACTAGTGGTTTGATAGAGTACACACAATAATAAATCCAGTAAATAGAATGGCACCAGTATTTGAAAATAAATGCAACTTGTATGTTTTAGGTGGCTAAATAATTGTAGAGTGCAGTGCCTTTATAGTAGATAGTCCTTCATTGTAATATGATATGGCTTTTTATATATAGCCATTGAGCTGATAATGCACATATGTGTGCTGTGCAGTATAAATGTTATAGATAGTAAGAAATGCTGATAAAATGTGAGATGGCGAGACTGAAGCTCATTGCACGTGTACAGCTACAACGACAGAAAAACTCTGGTCCTTATTTTATGTT